TTGCCAAGTTGTGCCTTGTCTCTTTTTTCTAGGATGAGTCTGGCTAGTGGTTTGTCAATTTTATTGGTCTTTTTAGAGAATCAGCTTTGGATTTAAGTGATTTTTGTTCCTCTGTTTCTGTTTTGTTTCATTGATTTCTGCCCTCTATTATTATTGTATTATGCTTACATTGGGGTGAGTGTGCTCTTCTTTTCCTTGTGTCTTATGATGGAAGCTGAGGTTAGTGATTAGAACACATCCTTTTTGAATGTGAGCACTTGCTGTTCTTGCCTTCCTCTAAACTCTTCTTTGGCTGCACCCCACAACGTTTAGTATGGTGTATTTTCATCTTTGTTCAGTTCAAACTTATTTAGAAGTTTCTGGTTTAATTTCCAAATAGTTGAAGATTTTCCAGGTATCTTTCCATTAATAGATTTTTACTTAAATTTCCTTAGAAAAGAAACGACGTATGATACTAATTCTTCTAAATTTGTTAAGCTTTGATTTATAACCAAGCGTATGGACTGTTGTGGCCAATATTCCATGTGTACTCGAAAAGAATCTGTATTTTGCTCTTGGTGAAGTGTTCTCTGTGTGTCAATCAGGACAAGTTGTCGACAGTGTTGGTCAGGTTTTCTGTATCCTTGCTGATTTGCCATCTGTTTGCTCAATCAAGTACTAAGAGAGGAGTGTAAAGTCCCTGACAATAATTGTTGATGTACCCATCGTCCTTTCATTTTTGACAGTTTTTGTTTTATGTACTTTGAAGCTCTGTGGTTTTTTTTATATAACTTTCACTTTATTTTTTTTTAATTTTTTGTTTATTGCAGTAACATTGGTTTATAACATTGTATAAATTTCAGGTGTACATCATTATACTTCTATTTCTGCATAGATTAGTGTGTGGTGATGGGTTGTAATTAGTATTTGGGTGGTAAACATGATGTAATCTATGAAGCTCTGTGGTTTTGTGCATACACAGTTAGGATTACTACTTGATGAGTCTTCTTGGTGAGTTGAACTTTTTATCGTTATGTAATAGCTCTATTTATCCCTGATAATTTTCTTGTTCAAAAGTCTACTTTATCTATCTTTTATTGTACTCATATGTTAGCCAATGTGGTAGATAGAATAATGCTGCTTCACCCTAAATTCCAAAAATGTCCAGACCCTAATCCCTGAAACCTGTGTGTGTGTTACCTTATGTGCAAAAGGGGCTTTTCAGATGTGTCTAAATTAAGTTTCTTGAGATGGGGACATTTTCCTGGATTATCTGTGTGAGCCCGATGTATACACAAGGCTACTTGTAAGAGGGAGATGAAAGGGTCAGAGTCAGCAGTAGGAAATGTGATAATGGAATCAAGAGGCTGCAGTTATGGAAGGAAAGGGTCAGGAGCGCAGTACTACAGGCGTCTCTGGGAGCTGGGAAAGGCCGAGAAACTGATTCTCACTGCAGACCCACCAAAAGCAACCACCTCTGTGACACCTCGACTTTACCCAGTGAGATTGACTTTGCACTTCTGACCTCCATAACAGTAAGATAATAAATTTTTATTGTTTAAATCCACTAAGCTTGTGCTAATTTGTTACAGCAGCAGTGGGAAACTTAGGAAGCCACTTAAGCTTTCTTTTAATTAATGTTTGCATAGCATATTTGTCCTCTTACTTTTAATATATTTACATCATTGTATTAAAGTAAACCTTTTGCAGACTGCATAGATTGGTGCTTACTTGTTGTTGTTAATCCAGTCCTAATCTCTGCCATTAGTTGTGCATGCACCATTTATGTTTAATGTAATTATTGAAGGTTCTTTTCAGATTTACCGTTGCATTGTTTGTTTTCTGTTTATTCCCTCTGTTGTTTCTTCTTTGAATTTCCCTTTCCCTTCCCTTTTATTTTGGCTTTTTGGAATACTTTTTAGTATTCCATTTTAAGTTATCTATTGGTGTTCTAACTGAAACTCTTTGCACATTGTTTCTTAAGTGGCTGTTGTAGGTATTATAATATACACACCTAATTTCACAGAGTCCACATAGGTTTAACACTTTACTTCTTCAAGAGAAATGAAGAAGCCCAACACCATATAGATCCTTTCACCCCCATCCCTTTATGCTGCAGCTGTTCTGTGTGTTACGTCTACAGACATTAAAATCCCACCAGACAATGTCATCAGTTTTGCTTTCGACAGCAAAACACATTTTAAAGAACTTAAGATGAGAAACATATTCTATTACATTTACCTAGATAGTTACCATTTTTTGCTCTGCCTTTATTCTTGAATTTCCAAATTTCCCTCTAGAATTATTTTCCTGTCTGCCTGAAGAACTTTCCTTATTTCTTTTATAGCAAGTCTGCTGGCAACAAATTCTCTCAGTGTTTCTTCCTCTCAGAATGACTTTATTTTGCTTTCATTCCTCAAGAATATACCCAGAAGAATTCCAGTTGGTTCTCCTTGTCTCTCAGAATTTTAACATCTTCTGACCTTGGTGGTGTCTGATGTGAAATCTGTAATCATTTAAATCATTTTTCCTGTGTTTCATGGCATTTTTCTCTGGAGGCTTTCAAGCTTTTTTTTTGGTTTTCATTAGTTTGATTACGATTATGACATGCATAGGCAGGGTTTTTAAAGCTTATCACATTTTGCATTTGCTGAGCATCTTGGACCTGTAAATGTATGACACTCAATAAATCTGTGAAATGGTCAGCTGTTTATTTCTTCAAATATTTTTTTCTTCATTAATGTCAATCTTCTTTTGCAGGCAGATCAATGACATGAATTGTCTCACAGGTCCCTGTTCACTGGGAATGTTTAAGTTTATTAAGTTTAAGTTCTTAATCTTTAAAAGAATTAAATCTTTTTTTGCCTCCAACCCATGATCTTACCCAGTGCCTGGAGAAAGAGTTCACAGTGTGACATAAAGATCTCTGCCCAGAGGAGGAAGGGGCACTGAGGAGGCAGAAATGACTCAGAGGTTTTGAAGGAGGATGATAAAGAAAAAGATGGTGCTGACTTAGAGAAACAAGGAGTCAGTAAAGGGAAGTGTTTGGGGAGAAGTAAAACCACAATCCCTGATCAACAGGGAAAGCTATGCTTTCTTCTGAGAAATAGTGGTCAGTCTTCTAAGCATCTCCCCAGCCTCCTTCTCCCCAGGTCCTCCTCCCTGTGATGGCCCCACTGGCTCCTCCAGGCACCAAGACAGAGAGGGGACCAGCCTTCAGTTCCTCACTCTTGCACTTCACATCCAATCATCAAATCCACACCACTATGCCCCCCAAGTCCTTCTTAACAATATCCTGATCCATCACAAGACTCAGGACATCTCATCTGTGTCATCACATCTGCCTCCTTCCTGGTCCTCCAATCCCGGTCCCCACTCCTTTCTCCAGTTCATGCCTCTCACCGCCTCCGAAGGACTCTTCTAATAACCGCGTCTGGTCTGCTCCTGCCCTGCTCAAAACACCTCCAACTGTTTCTACCTTCAAAATACATCCAAGTTGCACCACCTGATGTTCAGGGCTGTGAATGATCAGGTCTGAGCTAAACTCACAGCCGCAGCAAACACAACTCTCCCCCTGAACCAAACTCATCACAGTTACCCACACACACCCCAAGCACACCCACAAACAGAGCTACTTAACAATTCTGTGCCTTCCTTGGGCTCCTCCCTCAGCCAGTCTGAACCTAGCCAACTCCTTTCCAACCTGCCGGTCCAAAAAGCCATCCTGTCTCATTACACTCAACTGTAAATGTACTTTGTGTTATAGGTTTGTGCAACCATTATATCAGAAAACCATGTACATGACTTAAAATACTGATCAACTCATCATCCAAGGGCCAGATTAATGTTGGAGTTTTTTTATTAGTAGAGTTAATTATTTATAGAGCCTTCATGCATTACCTTTCTACATGGTGGTAGTCTTTTTAAAACAGAAATCTGTTCATCCTGTCTGTTGCTTAAAATCTTCCCATTGCCTTAAAGATAAAATCCAAAATACTTGCATGGTGCTCAGGATCCTGGGTGACAAGCCCAGCCTTCTCCTGATTGCTCTCAATTCTGAGAACAGCTCATATCTTCTGGGCGAGGATGCCCCCACCCATCTCCACCTTTGGGCTAACGCTGCTCATGCCTTGGGTCACTGCTTTGCCAGAAGGACCCCTCACAACCCGGACTCCTTTTGCTGGACGTCTACCTGTTGTTGAATGTCATAGTCCAGTTTTCTTTTTTCTTCCAACTTGTATTAAAATAAGACTATAACTGAATTGTTTGCCACTTAAATATTAGTAATGTCTGTCTTCATTCATCTGAGCCCCGTGAGTCCCAGGAAAGGCTCTGTCAGCTTCACCAATGACTCTCCAGCTCCTGGCACACGGACATGATAACTGCTAAATATAATTTGGCTGATTGCCTAACTGATGAAAGAAAGGAAGAAAATTTGCATTTACAGAAGCTCAGAAAAGGGAAGTGAGTTGCCCCAGGTCACAAAGCCTCTATAAGAGGCGCAGTCAGAGTTGGAACAGAAATTGGGCTGGTCCTCCCCTGCCTGCTCCAAGCCTCATGTTCTGGGACAAGTGTCGCTCTCTGGATTTGGGTTTGGCATGAGGTGGAGGCAGAGTGTGTGGGGTCTGGCGAGTGTCCGATCTGGTCTGGAAGATCCCCAGTGCCTACTATATCCTGAGCCCCATCCTTTACGGAGGGCATAGTGAGGCTCTGGGAGGGGCTGTTCCCCTTCCTGCAAGGCCACAGATGAGGAAACTGTGATGTGTCACCAAGCCCTGATATTATCACTTCCCATGCATCTGTCTGTCCTACTGGGCTCTGTGGACCCTATAGGTCATCTGAATGGCTGGGGACCATGGGAAGCAACACTGGGACACCTACTCTCACTGCTTTTCTCTGCCTTGGTGAGTTTTGAGGAAAAGAGGAGGGATGAGATCCCCTCTTCTTCTAGGTCCTGGTCCCTGAGAGACTTCAAGATTCAGGAGACTCACTCGGGGAAGAACTTCTTGCAGGGAGGAGAGATGTGCTCAGCCCCAGATCTGACCCCAGTGCGGAGGAGCACAGACCAAGCCTGCAGCTTCTATGTGTGGGTTGGGGGACACGTTCTCATAGGGAACTCTCTTCTAGGGCTGTGTTGGGGCCCATGGAACCAGGTACGGGCAGGTGAGTCCTCCCCGACACCTCCCACTTCAGCCCAATGAACCCTTCTGGGAAGCTTGGGGAAGGTCAGATGATCTGGCCTGAGGTGACAAGTCTGCGAGGGGCCTGGAGTGACAGCTGGGGAAGCTGAGGGGAGAAGGGCTCCACTGACACTTGAGGTCTGATTCCTTTCCAGGAGCACCCCCTAAACCCTCCATCTGGGCTGACCCAGGACTGATGATCACTAGGGGGAGCCCTGTCACCATCTGGTGTCAGGGGTCTCTGCAGGCTGATGTCTATCATCTGTATAAAGAGAGGGTCTCTAAACCCTTGGATACAGAGGCCCCACAGGACTACAGCAACAAGGCCAGTTTCTCCATCGAATCTGTGAGCTCATACACTGCAGGGCTATATCAGTGTGCATATCACACTAGCGGGAATGGCTGGTCAGAGCGCAGTGACCCCCTGCCCCTAGTGGTGACAGGTAAGAGGGAGGAGCCTGGTCCCCTCCCACTGTGGGCTCCTCCTCACGGGAGGAAAGGAACACAGTGTGGGCTCAGGGGACCCTAGTCCTCACAATCCACACCTGGGGTATGTGAGCTAATGGGCCCCCTTTAACACAGCTCCCTCCTTCTCCCTCAGGAGTGTACAGAGCACCCTCCCTCTCAGCCCACCCAGGACCTGTGGTAGCATCAAGAGGGAACGTGTCCCTCTCCTGTAGCTCAGAGTCCACAATGGAAACTTTACATCTGCTGAAGGAGGGAGGAGCTGACCCACCCCAACACATGGAATTGAGGACCTATCGTAGGAGGGGGCAGGCTGTCTTCCCTGTGGGCCCTGTGAACACCTCCCATGGGGGGACCTACAGATGCTATGGTTCTCACAGCTCCTACCCCTATGCGTGGTCACTCCCCAGCGACCCTCTGCATCTTGAAGTCACAGGTGAGGGCCTCCCTGACCCACCTCTTTCCTAGGACCCCAAAATGACTGATGTAAGCCTTGTGCCCAGTGGAGCCCTGAGGGTGATGGGGACTTGGTGACATGTCTTCATGGGGCGTGAACCACAAAGTGAGAAGTTTAGGGGGTTGAAAAATGAGAACTCTCACTGCAGGCCCCAATGGGCAATGTGGGATGTGAGTCCCATCCAAAACTACCATCCCCTTCTCTCCAGGTGTGTACAGGGAGCCCTCCCTCTTAGCCCAGCCGGGCTCACTGGTGCTTTCTGGAGACAGCCTGACACTCAAGTGTCACTCAGAGGCCGGCTTTGACAGATTCGCTCTGACCAAGGACGAGGGGCTCACACCCCCCCAGCGTCTTCATGGGCAGCACAGCCCTGACTTCCCCCTGGGCCCTGTGAACCACACCCACGGGGGACAGTACAGATGCTACAGTGGACACCACCTCTCCTATGTGTGGTCGGCCCCCAGCACCCCCCTGGACATCCTGATCGTGGGTGAGGAGCCCCATGTCCTGACTGTCTGTTCAGGGCCCTGGGCACACGGTCAACCCTGGTGGTGATGGGGTCCAGGGAAAGGGTCCTGGAGCAGAGGCTGAGACGGAGCAGTGGTCGAGGGAGAGGGAGGGAGGTGGGGGGGTGAGGGACAAGGAGACAAAAGAGACCCACCCAGAGTGACAGAGAGGAGCTGAGAGGGGGTCACAGACAGAGTCCCTGGAGAGAAGACAGTGGTCCTTCAGCTTAGTGTCAAGGGCATGTGGTAAGAGGCAGCTTTATACACATCACAACCTTCCCCCCCGCCAGGAATGTACCAGAAACCCTCCCTCTTGGCCCAGCCAGGGCCCTCAGTGTCCTGGGGAGAGAATGTGACCCTGCAATGTCGCTCTGAGATCCACTTGGATACCTTTCATCTGTCCAAGGAGGGGTCACCTGCTCCTCCCCAGCACCTTCGTCTGCAGGACACAGCTGCACCCTTTCAGGCCAACTTCACCATCAGTCCTGTGACCTCAGACCAAGAGGGGACCTACAGGTGCTACGGTTCAGACAGAACCTCCCCCTACCTGTTGTCACTCCCAAGTGACCCCCTGGAACTTCTCATCTCAGGTGAGGAGCACCAGCCCTGTTCCCTTTGTCCCTATGATCTGTTTGGGGCCCTGTCCTCAAGAGATGTCTTGGCTGAGAATGGAGATAGGGGTCTAGAGGGAGGGTCACCCAGAAGGGGATAAGACCCTCAGAGTCTCCCCTCAGACCCACCCCCTTCCCACTCATCTGGATCTAGAAGGTGTCAGGTGGGGAGAAGGACAGTCTTGCAGGGGCCACAGGGCAGATGTAGGAGAAGGTTTGAGTGAGGTGGGTACTTCAGGATCATCCCAGCCCCTCACCCACAGGGCCCATCTCAACAACTGGGGATTCACGGAGGTTCCTTTGCTTAGAGGGAGCACAGACCACCCAGGTCATTCTGACAGTCTCTCTGAGGATCTAATGCCCCATCAGATATTCAAGGACAGGCTTGTCTCCCAGGGAACCTGGATAATTGGCAGGGATATAGACGGGGACTACAGGACTCCAGGGGCTCTAGGCTGGGCAGACAATGTGTGGGGCGATCATGGCAGAGGGAGATGTTAGGCCCGCCTTGGAGAGGGGCAGCCGGGCTGAAGATGGGAGAAGATCAACTGCCGTCACTTCCCCCAACTTTGGTTTATACATATGGGGTGTGATCCACTGCGGGGTCTCCGTGCTCCCTGAGCTGGTGATTTTGGACAGATCCCTGGTCCCAGAGCTCCTGGTCTCAGGTGGGGAACCCCTGTCCCTGTCCTCTCTGAGCTCAGGTCTTCTCTGGGCCCCATCTACAGGAAAGTCTGAGAAATGATGGAATAATTGGAGCACAGGGAATGTTCCACAGAGGAAATCCAGCCCATTAGAGGGTGGAAATTAGTGGGAACCTCCCAGCCCTGGGACACCCCATCCCTGTAGTCTCAGACAGGGCTGAGGATGGGAGAGGGATGGAATGAGACTTGGTGAACCTAAGAGGAAATGAGATTAGACTGAAGTTACAAGACAGAGGCCCCTGCCTACTGACTTCTTGGTGTCTCCATCTCAGAACCACAGCATCGCCACTCACCAGGAGCCAGGAGCAGGGGGAGATCCCACAGAGGTGCTCATCTAGGAATCAAGGTGGCAGGGACCCCCTGAGTAGGTGGGGCTGAGGGTGTGTGGGCTCAGTTCTCCTGGGAGGGCGAACTTCTGAGAAAGCCTTTAGTCCTCTGAATAAGGGGGAGCTGCATGACCATGACCTCCAGAGGCCCTTTCATTTCTGACCTTCCAGGGCATCTGCGAAGTGGCTCATCACAGACCTGCTCCTGGTCCAGCCCTCTCTGGGCCTGTCCTGCTTCTCCCAGTAATTCTGCCCTTATCAGGATTAAAAAGCTGAGGGAGGGCCGGCCCCGTGGCTTGGTGGTTAAGTGAGCGCGCTCCACTGCTGGCGACCCGGGTTCGGATCCCGGGCTCGCACCGACGCGCTGCTTCTCCGGCCATGCTGAGGCCGCGTCCCACATACAGCAACTAGAAGGATGTGCAGCTATGACACACAACTATCTACTGGGGCTTTGGGGGGAAAAAAATAAATAAATAAAATCTTTAAAAAAAAAAAAAAAAGCTGAGGGAGACAGGGGGAAGGTGCATGTGATTTTAATCCATCAGGCCTGGAGTCTCAGCTTAGCAAGAGAAAGCCACAATATTGTGGAGACTGCAAAGATTTGGAAACCCTATTGATTTAGCACCTCAACCCTCCCAGTCCACACAAAAACTGTGGGATTTTCTACCAAAAGCCACCTCCCCTTGTCAGAATCCCTGTTTCACAGGCCCCTGACCAGTTTTGGATGACGTGTGGAAAAGAAGGAGAAGGGCAGGGTTGCAGCCTTTGGTGTCCAGGACTGACTTGGAATCCAAGGAAGACGGTGGGATGATGGAGGAGGACAGGCTGGGAGAGTTGGAGGACAGACGGACACTCCCTTGGCAGCTCCTGTTTCTCATTTCCAAGAAACGTTTAGATGAAGCCCCTCACACACACATGTGGGGGTGGGGGTCCCAGAGCCCTCTCAGATCAGGACAGTAGGTTGCTCAGGCCAAGGTGGGATCTGCTGTGGGTGCAGATGGGGTCCACACCAGACTCTCTCCTATAAAGAGAAGCACCCTGTCCATGGGTACTGCTCTGCACAGACCTCCTGTGCTCACCTGGAGGCCTCCAGCCTTCAGTGCACACCTGAGACTAAGGAGGGACCATGCAGGGCTCACTGGGGTCACTTAGGGGAGCACTGCACAGCACGTCTGTGTGCAGCTCACATCTACTCTGCATTTTCTGTGCAAACTTCTCTGTTATTCCTTTCTTTCTCTGAGAACTTTAATAGCAAAACTTGCATATATAAATTTACAAATTGAACTTATAAAGATTTATGACAAAAATAGGCAATTCTATTCCTATTTTCATTGGCATTAGATTAAATTTATACATTCATTGTGGAGAGTAACTTTTTAATAGGAAGTTTTCTTACAAAAGATGCTTAAAAGGAGGGTTTATTAAGGACTTCACATGCATTTTGAAGTTTTCTTCATAAAATTGTCTACACCTATAGCTTAAGATTTGTTCAATGGCTTTATTAATTTATAAGTAAGATCTTTGATTTTTTATAATTTATAAATATTTAAATATAGATAACAATGATATTGGCTTGGTTATATTAATTTTATGTCTCATCAACTTACTACAGATTCTCCACCATTCAATTGTTTTTCAATTGATCTTCTCTGATTTACTGACAATAATTTCATTAACCTCAAGGAAATTGAAATTTCACTTATTTCCAGATTGTGCACCAGTTTTATTTGTATCAAATATTATATGAAAATGCGGACAATGTAAAATGTTAAGATATATCTGAGTGTCACTTTCAGATAATATATTCATTTTTAATCCAAATTGTTTTAAGGCAAAAGCATCAAAAATCTATATTTTGTATATGTATAACAGTATTGACCTCTACATCCGTCCATTTTTCTGTTACATTCAGATTTTATTAGAAAAAAATATTATTTCCTTTATAGAAATTAGGAATTTTTTCTGGACTTTTTACATCTCTTGAATTTTTTCTCTTTAATTTTAGCCATGGTGAGATATATTTAAAAGACTTATTAGTGTCAAACATCTGGATATTAACCCCACCAAGTGACGTCTATTATTAATTTGTACTTTTGACCAGTATAAGCTTATTTAGAATTTTTACATTGAGATGTATAACTAGAATTAATCTAACACTGCTTGGAATAGATTTGAAGAGTTACCTATTTTTTGTGCTCGCCCAATGCATAAAACCACTGATTTTCCTGTTGCTTAACACGTTGAATACTAGGAGTGTGGATTTTCTTGGTTTGGGATATTAGAAATGGAGAGGATAGAGATTATCTACATTTTTTCTTTCATGTAGTATTTATTGAGTGTCATTAACCATTACATGATTTTAATATCAAGGTAGCTGAGAAATTCACACATTCTTGCAACTCACTTTCTTATCCAGCATTTTAGCACGGAAAAGTTCAAATATAAAATTGAATGATTAGTCTTCTCTCTTTGAAATCTTCTAGCAGTTTCCAGAGTTATTTCAAAGAGAGAGAATGATGATGGTGATGATGATGATGACAGTTATGGAAACTCCCTCATCTGTAATGTCATTTCTGACTTGTCTCAAATCTCACTTCCCCTTCTCCTCTGGACCCAGCTATATCTCACAGACATGATTTTATTCTTTATTGAAGAACAGTCAGAGATCTTTCTGGGGACCTGCTCTTCCTGCAGCCTGTGATGTGCTTCATCTGGGTCTTCACGTGGCTCCTCTCAGGCTCCTTCTCCTATTCGGGAATCATCATCTCCAAGTGTAACCTTCACGGTGACACCATGTAGATCAGACCTACCTCCTCATTACATAATTTATTTCTTGTAATTAACCCAACTGATGCTATATTTTTGTATGGATTGAATTTTCTCTCTTCTCTCATGTGTATATGACCCACCTCTCATCCATGGGTCCTCAGTCTTCAGTTGTTGAATGAACAGAAGCTCTCATGTCTGGAAGAGTTAGCATGCGTGGTCAATATCCCAGAGTTAACAGAGAGCATACAAGAATTCAATTATTTCTGTATTGGGAGACCAGGTTTCTCAACAATCCTGAGCTCTGGGGGCACATCCAAACTCTGTTCCAAAGAGGTTCAAAAGCAAAGTCTAAATTCAAAAGACCACACGAAGACTGATAGAATCCAATGAGAACAGAGGGAATCCTTCTACAACAGAGAAAGGATTCTTTAAGGGACAGCATAATAGTTATTTCATGAAAAACAGAGGGAATCATAAGACCACAGAGCCCAGGGGAAAGGCTTAAGTCATATCAACTCCTCAACCATCCCCACTATTTTATGATTCTGAGGAGCAGCTGACACCATCCTCCCATCACAATGCAAGTCAGACTCCAAGAGTAGCAAGCAATAGAAATTCTCAGTTATGGGGCTGGTGCAGAGGGTCACATACTGCCAAGGGGAGACAGGTGCCTGGGCGGACATCAGGGATCCTGGGGTGATTTTTCTCTGCACTGACCTCTGTGACCTCTTTCTCCACAATTCCTAGCCACGCATCCCCAAGACTACACAGTGGGGAACCTCATCCGGATGGGCGTGGCTGCCGTGATCCTGGTGGTCCTCGGGATTCTGCTCTTTCAGGCTCGGCACAGCCCCAGAGGACCCCAAGATGCAGCCAGGAGGTAAATACAAGAGAGAACTATGCACTGCTCAGAGAGGTAGAGGCTTGGAAATAAGTCTTGTGTGCCCAGGAGGTTCTGGAAGAGCATCTGGGGCATATGTTGTGTGAAACGTCTGTGGGTCATTGTGAGGTGGAAGAATCATTGTTCATGTGCAGGGACAACGTCTGGACTCTTCTGCCATTAAACTGTGGAATTTTCCTTCCTGAACACTGCTGAGTTGCCTTGACTGGCTCCTGTCTTTCCCCCTTTCTGTGAAATCAGCATGTATCCCACATGGCAGATTTGGGTCCACACCTCCTCACACTTTCATGGTCTGGTACACTTTCATGTAATCCATTTTTTCTTTATTTCTAATTTCCACATTCCTTGACGTAGGTATGTGTATTAGGAGTCTCTATTTTTTCTTTCAGAGCATGTAATCTGTTTCAATAAATCCATAAGTTGTAATAACAAAGAGCCAGCCTGAAAGAGGTAAATCCAAAATGATGCCCTAACACCCTCTCTGGACTGCACATCCCTTCACTTTTCATCAGATGATACCTGTGTAGTTTCTGCAGAGATATCATCACTTGGAATCAAGACATTGCTGTTTGAAGTGATAGCACAGTTATTACTGCTCCTGAAAAAACCCGCTGTTAAAAACACTGATTCAAAGCATTTTCCAGTTTCTCTGGTGTATATACTCCCTTCATGGCCAACTTCAAGGTGCCAATGTGAGAAAAACATAGAGTAAATTTTAATAAGCTTAGACTTGCCAATAGTTTTCAGTTATGACACAAAAACACAAACTGTGAAAGAAAAAAACTACATGAATTGTACTTCATCAAAATTTAAAATATATGTTCATTAAAAAAGATGATCAAGACTGTAAAAGATAAATTACAAAACTGGAAAAAAATTTACAAATCACGTATCTAATTAGGGTCTACTATCCACAATGTAAAAAGAATACCTTTAACTCAACAACGAAAAGCAATCCTATTAAAAAAAAATAGTCCAATGGCTTGAATAGGCATTTCCAAAAAAACATATACAAGTGGACAGCAAACATATGAAAGATGGTCAACTCATTAGTCATTAGGGAAATGAAAATGAAACCACAATGAGATATCACTTCAAACCCATTGGATTGGCCATAATTTGAAAAAGAAAATAACAAGTGTTGATGAGGATGTGAAGAAATTTGAACCCACTATACACTGCTGGTGGGTAAGTAAAATGGTTAAGCCATGTGGAAAACAATTCAGCAGTTCCTCAAAAAGTTAAACCCCGAATTATCATATGATCTAGAAAATCTCCTTCCAGGTTTAAGTTTCACTTATGCAAGACTAAAAAATTATAGCGATCTGCCATACAACTACGCGCCTATACTTAATAATACTGCACCAGACACGAAAATTTGTAAAGAGGGTAGATCTCACATTAAGTGCTCTTACCACAGTAAAGAAAAGAAAAGAAAAATAATTGCAAACAGATATTCAAACACTTATGAAAGTGTGTTCATAAAAGAACTGTTCACAATAGACAAAAAGTCACAGCAGCCCAAATGTCCATCAATTGATTATGGAAAAACAACAACAACAATTAAAAACTCTTACTGTCTCCAACTAGTGCACTTGCCAAAAGCATGGAGACAGAATCCACAGTCTCAGGTGAAGAGTTATTGTCTGGAGGACAAGAGGTGGTGAGGGGGCAGAAATGACTCAGAGGTTTTGATGGAGAGTGATGAAGAGAAGGTGCTGCTACTTATGGAAACAAGAAAGTAGGAAAGGAAGTGTTTGGGAGAAACAAAACCACATACCCAGGCCAGGAGGGAGGTGGTGGTTCCTCTGTGAGTCAGTTGACGGTATTATAAGCATCTCCCCAAGCCTCCTTCTCCTCTTGGGGTCATCCATCCTGTGACAGTCCCACTGGCTCCTCTAGTCAAGGAAAGGAGAGAGTAGAAGAGCCCTCAGTTCTTCACTCTCTTCCACCTCACATACAATGAACAAATTGAACAGTTCTGCCCCGATCCCCTTTTTTTTCCATGACCCTAGACCACCACCACAGTCAAGTTCAATAGAAGACTTAAGATGTCTTGTTGGTGCCACATCATCAGCCTCCTTCCTGCTGCATACCTCGGGCTTTCACTCCCTGATGAACTGTTTTATTCTCATGGCCCCAAACTAATCTGTCACTGACTCTACCCTGCACAAAGCCCTTCCACAGGTCTCCTCCTTCCTTCAAGTAAATTCCAACAATCTCCACCTGACAATCCATGAGGTTGATGACCAGCCTGAGCTAAATTCTCCAGCCCCAGCAAAGCCAGCTCCTCCCTACAAACCAAACTCATCTCAGTTGACAACCTCCCCTCCCCAGACACACACATAACCTGAATAATTACCACATTTGTGCCTTCTCAGGAGCAGCTCCCTGAGCTAACTTGAACATAGCAGACTCCTTTACAAACCTCCTAGACCATGACAAGGATGAAGAATTCTTGTCTCATCCCACTCAACTGTGAATGTATTTTTGTTGTAGGGTTTGTGTAAGAGTTACGTGAGAAATCCTCATAAACCACTCAGAATACTGGTTGACTCATCACCAGACTAATGATAGCATTTTATCACTGTTTATATCTATACGGTCTTCCTACAGTACAGTCCCTACAGAACGGTGCCTTTTTCAAAACAGCAATCTATTCATACCTTCCTATACTGAAAATGTTCCCGCTATCTGAAAGATAAGATCCGAGAATACTTGCAGTCTGCACAAGACTTTGTGTGACCAGGGTGCATTGTTACCAGATTACTCACAGTTCTTAGACTAGTTCACCCTCTTTCTGATCAAGCATGCCAACCCCTCACCACGTTTGTGCTAACCCTACCTTGTCGTGGTCTCTTCCTCCAGAAGGTCCCCAAACTCTCGTCACTAAGGTTGCTAGACATCCACCTGTTACCGAGTCTCTCTGTTTTCAGTTTCTCTTTTTCTCTACAGCTTACCAAAACTACAGTCAAATTATCCATTGTCTAATTATTTGCATTGTCTTTTGTTGCTAATCAAAGCTCCATGAGTCCAGGGAAGGAACCAGTCAGTTTCACCAATAAATCTCATCCTGTACACAGTAACTTCTCAATAAACACTGGTTGATGCCTGGATGGTGGAAGGAAGCAAGAAATTTGCATTTACAGAATCTATGGAAAGGGAATTGATTTACCACAGGTCACAGAGTCTCTATAAAAGGTAGGGTCAGAAGTTGAACTGAAATGGGCTGGCTCCTAGGCACTGCCTTGCATCCTCTACCATCATTTTCTGAGACAAGTGTCACTCTCTGGATTTGAGTTTGTCATGAAGTGGAGGCAGAGTATACGGGGTCTTGTGAAACTCAGATGGTCTGGAAGGTCCACAGAGCCTGCTGTCTCTTTGGCCCCATCCTTCAAGGAGACCAGACAGAGGCCATGAGAGGGGCTTTTCCTTTTCCTGTGAAGCCACTGATGAGAAACCCAAGATGTGTTACATGCAGCCTGGACCTTGTCCACCCCATTTGTCTGTCTGCCTGCCTGGCTCTGTGGTCTTGATAAGTGGTCTGCACTTCTGGGGACCATGGGAGACAGTACCAGGACCCCAACCCTCATTGCCCACCTCTTCATCCATGAGTTTTTGGAAAAGCAGAGGATGGGTTTCCCTCCCCTCACAAGTCCTGGTCCCTGAGACCCCAGAACTCACAAGGATCACTGTGGGACAGAACTTCAGGGGGAAGGAGAGATGTGCTCAGCCAAAGATCTAACCTCAACGCTAAGGGGCTCAGAGCAGGCTTGGAGCTTCTATGTGTCTATGTTGAGGGACTACACTCTCACAGGGAACTCTTTTCCAGAGTGTCAGGTCCCATGGAACTGGGGAAGAATCCTCTGCCGCAAATCCTGCTTTAGAACAGTGAACCCCCCTGGGCATCTGGTGGAGCACAGAGGGTCTGAGCTAATTGTTACCTGTCTGGGAGGAGCCTTGGAGTGACGGCTGGGATACTTGAGGTTGAGAAGGGCCCCTTTCACATTTCAAGCCTGATTCTTTTCCAGGAGTCCCCCAAACCCTCCATCTGGGCTGACCCAGGCCCCATGGAACCACGGGGAACTCTGTGACCATCTGGAGTCAGGGGTCTCTGCAGGCTGATGTCTATCATCTGTATAGACAGGATCGCTAAACCCTGGGACACAGAGCCCCACTGGACCCCACAAAAAAAATGATTTTTTCATTGAATCTATGAACCCACGCAGTGCAGGACTATATCAGTGTGCATTTTACACCAGCAAGAATGGATGGTCAGATCACAGTGATCCCCTGGTGGTGACAGGGAAAGAGAAAGCTTCATGTCCCCTCTCCACTGTGGGCTCCTCCTCACAGGCAGAAGGGAGCAGAGTGTGGGCTCAGGAGCCCTCAGCCCTTACAGTCCACACCTGGAGAATGTGTACTGACAGGCTCCCTTTAGCAAGCACCCTCATGCTTTCTCAGGAGTGCAGGACACACTCTCCCTCTCAGCCCACCCAGGTCCTGTGGTGGCATCAGGAGGGAACATGTGTGGTCATTATGAGAGGAAACACATAAAGGGGAAGACCCTCAGCTGAGGTGGGGAGAAAAGAGCAGATTCCATCTCTGTCCATGGTGCTGAACTCTAGGGGTCCATAAGAATCATCATGGCACCTTAGGGAGAGTAAAGATAGTCTCTCAATTTCAGGTCGAGGAGATTGGGGGATTCACTGGAAGTCGTAAGCTGAAGCTGAGTTGGCTCAGCCACCCTTAGCAGACACACTGACAAAATTCTATCCGTATCTCAAACTTTATCTCACATCCCTCAAAAATACAATCCTATTCTGGATTTCAAAAGGCTGAATTAGCTCTGAAGTTCTCTACCAGTGGATTTCTGTGGAATAATGTTGAGGAATCCTTCTCTGGGGACTTCTGTCCATTATGACTATGTCCTGTCTCCACAAGGAACCACAGTCATTATGTGGGGGGAAAGAAGAAAGGCAGGATTTCTTCCTGATTTCCATGAGCACCAGGTTGTCAGCCAGATCAGGTCATTCTCCAAAACATCTTCCATCAGAACTCATGTTTAGTATTCCCTTCCTTCCTCCCAGTGCCACCTGGTATTCCTTGGTATTGCTTTTCTCAAGTTATCAGAGCCTATCTTACATCTATAGATATCTGTATTTTTGACCATGTAT